TATATATTTATTATCTTATTCATTTTTGTCTATATTACTGTGTAATTTTGTTAATATAATTTCTGTTTAACTGTACGTACTTGTTCCAGCGTGGAACTGGTTGTTTTTAGGTCGTCTGAAAAAAAACTTTTCGGGAGTTTTTAAGTCATTCAAGTCCTGAAGTCCTCCACCAGGTAGAGGTTTTTTTTAAATTTTGGCAACAATAAGGTGGACATGGAAAATAATGGCTCTCTAAAACTTAGGAACTTAGAAGCGAGGGTACACCCACGAGCAAACTCGGCTTCCTCTAGGGGAAAAAGCAATGTAGGTGTAAGGGCCTCCTACCACTTGGTATCGGAAATTATTGAACTTAATCTTAAATTAATGTTCAATTTAACATTTGTCTCAGTACTTGAAATATATGTTAAATCGAATGGTAATTTGGCATAAATTTCAATAATTCCCGATACCAAATTTCAGGAGGCCCTTCTCCAACGCCACTTTTTCCTTTAGCGGAAGTCGAGTGTTCTCGTCGATGTACCCTCACGAGCAAACTCTGCTTCCACTAGGGAAAAAAATGGCGCAGGGAAAATGCTTTCTACTACCATTTGAATTCGGAAGTTTCTGAAATTGATGCCAAATTACCATGCATTTTAACATTTATATCTTGAAATAAATTTACCAAGTGGTAGAGGCCCTTATCCTACGCCATTTTTTCCCCTAGGGGAAGTCAAGTTTGCTCGTCGATGTACCCTCACGAGCAAACTCTGCTTCCACTAGGGAAAAAAATGGCGTAGGGAAAAAGCTTTCTACTACCATTTGAATTCGGAAGTTTCTGAAATTTATGCCAAATTACCATGCATTTTAACATTTATGTCTTGATATAAATTTACCAAGTGGTAGGAGGCCCTTACCCTACGCCATTTTTTCCCCTAGCGGAAGTCGAGTTTGCTCGTCGATGTACCCTCACGAGCAAACTCTGCTTCCACTAGGGAAAAAAATGGCGCAGGGAAAATGCTTTCTACTACCATTTGAATTCGGAAGTTTCTGAAATTTATGCCAAATTACCATGCATTTTAACATTTATGTCTTGAAATAAATTTACCAAGTGGTAGGAGGCCCTTACCCTACGCCACTTTTTCCCCTAGCGGAAGTCGAGTTTGCTCGTCGGTGTAGATGCTCCTTCACCGAATTCGTCGTCACGTGGAACGAAGTTATCGCCGCGATCCTCTTCGCGGTTTGTCGCGGCGAGTCCGTAAATTTTTGCAAATTCGCAAACACCGGCAACCCTTGACCACCGCTTTGCTACCGACTAAACGGCCCGTAAAATTGAAACGGACATGGAATTTTAACGGTCGATTAAAGCTACGCGTTTGCGTCGATCATCGCGCGTTTAAGCGTGCCGTGCGCGACTCGACTGGACGCGGCACGGTTTGCCGTTCAGAGGTTTACGATGCCCCAGCAAGAACTCGTAAAGCGGCTGATATCGCTCGGTTTAATCTGCTAGCTCCGCGAAAGCGTTTCCCGTCGAAGAATGCACCGCAGAGGGCCGGCCTAGTCCGTCCGTTGTTGTCCACCCACCGTCGGCGAAAACGGTGGTTTTGTTGGAAACACGGTGAGTCAGTGACACATCGATGATGATACAGTAAATCCTCGATGAGTGTTCGAAGGCTCCTCGGCATTGGCCTGGTTTTTAACATTTTAATACCTAGTATTGCAAGTGCAACATTCGGTTTAAAAGTGTGTCAAATTATACCTCCGTTCAATAACTAACTTTTGTCAGCAAGGATCCGTAGTTTTATTGGTCTGAAGTAGATCTCTACGTTTTCTGTTCCGAAATTATAGTATTCCCTCGAAAAATTACTAAAAAACTAAATCTGGATCCATATGCTGGATCCAATTTATTGTATTAGGAAATCATTTCGTAATTGAAATAATTTTTTATTTTATGGAATGGCCCACAGTAGCACTGTTTGGCAACGGTCAAACAAACGTACACGTTATACAAAATGACATTGTACAACGAAAGTCGCGTTGATCTGGTTCTTGAGTTCTCATTAATTTACGACCTTCTTTGAAATGGAAATGCATCGTATTGTATCTCGTTAAATTCGTCTCAAAAAATTCTATCATATGATTAATAAATAAGTATATTAGTCCATATTAAACCATTAAAGTGACCTTAAAATTTTTCACACCATTGCACTTACAGAAAAACTTTGTACACTATATAACGTGTCTCTCTGTACCAAAAAGCTTTTGTAGAAATAATTTTTCCGTATCTTTATTAGTTTACGAATTATGAGTTTTTTCCAGTTAGAATCGTCATTTGGTTCACTGTGCACGGACGCACAGAAAGCCGTGCAATGAGTACACTTTCGCTTCACGGTTAGATTACCGGCTGTTAGGCTAAAGATGGAAGTGCATACCTCGATTGCGTAATTTCAGACGCGATATGTGCAATCAAGGCTCGCCGCGCACGAGCGATACGGTGTACGCGATTTTCGCGCCGTTGATGCGGTGTAATTCGACTGACTTGAGTGAAACGACGCAGATGACGGTGTAATGGAACAAACGAAAGATTGGATTCTGAGGACGTTGTCGATGGGAGTAAGAAACATTGACACGGAATCACAGCTTCGAAAACGTATTGTACCATAAGTTGGGGAAATTTTCACTTGTTAGTCAGGGTAACATTGTCCAAAGTCGGAAAATGATCATTTTCGATTTTGCAGGTCTGTAAATTGTTGAGGATTTTGCCCTTCCCTCTCTTCCAAGAGTTACAAAATTTTTGCATAATATTTAATATTGCATTGTAATTTGAAATACGACCAACAAGCCTCTATTAACAAAACGCATGCATTTTCAACGGCTAATGACTTTAAAAATAAAATTAAGTGTGTCTGATTACGTACAGCATTTTTCACTGTGGCAGCCGATGTGTTAATATTTTTGCCCCCCCCCCCTGATAACCTGATTTCGCCCATGGCCTCAGACCCTTTTTTTTAAACACCCTGTATAATAAAATCAGCGCATGAACTTTTAATTAATAACGATTTATAAATCTTTATCGCAAAAGCCATAACTTATTCACTTCTTACTGAATCTTCCAGTGCAAAAAGGTTAGAAAAATCACTTTTCGATCACAAAAAAAGGAGGAAGAAGGGAGGGTAGAAGAGGTTAGAGCCCCTAAAGTTTAACATCCTTTTTTTCATCACAATATTTATCACAGTGAAAACTCAGCGTACACTCCGTTCACCTTGATTTTGCTTACTTCTAAAAACCTAAATAGCAAAATTTTCCTCAACACCCGATGGTGAGTGGTCGCCAACCAATGGGTTAAACTATCTGATCCGACCATACGTGACGCTCCCGCCTCTATTAAAGATTCCACAAATAACACACACACACACACACACTCAACACATATATTCCCCGTGCTCGATCAACCATACATTCTTGCTCTTCAAGACCAAACACCGGAGATCTATTCTCACCGTCTGGTCGATCCCAAGGATCGCAATCCACCCCGTAGGATCTAAAGATCGCGGCCGACCGGCCGATCGATCACGCTGAAACAAGAGAGATAGATAGGCCACCGTTGAGATTAATTAATACCGATCCAGGGTTCAAAGGTTTGTTAGCTGTTCGAGAAGGGAACACGCTCGCGACGTACCGTGTCTCGAGATATGGATCTGTACCGGGGCCACAACATTCATTAAACGATCAAGGTCGCCGCTTGGGAACAAGAGACAGAAAGAGAGAAAGAGGGATAGATTGAACGAAGAATGGTCGAGGCACCGTAGCCCGTATAGTCTTCCGCGTATATGTATTCCGTTTATTGCTGAATGGGTGGTAATGGTGTGTCCTGCATACGGAAATGGGCTGTCCTTAACACGCAGGAGGAAACAGAAAGCACACCACGGTTGGTCGTGGCTGTGGCGTTAATCTTGCCGTTACACGCATAGCCACACTCGACGCGTGTCCCCAGTACCCACCAGGCTCCCGGAGCAGGCCAGAGTCTCTCTCTCTCTCGGTGCGTTGTATCTGGATGTTTAATAAAGCGACGGGTCAACTGGAGTCAACCGTGCAGCTGTGTCCACTAGCCCCAAGAGACCAGCCTACTATTATATACCCCGGAGGGACTCTCATTATCGCTATTCGGACCCCGTTTGTGCACGAGCGTTTCACGTTTCTGCGACCGACTCGCAATTTTTCTTAATTGAAACGTCACCCAGCAGCGATACCCTCGCTGGCTGAATCGTCGCAAGGCACGGAAAACTTGTGGAAAACGCGATCGTTTTGCGGCCAGTTTTCTTCGCGCGATATACACTAAAGTCGATGTCCCTATTTGTAATTTAATAGTAAACATACCGAACCCTTCGAAGAGATAGGAATTAGAACGGCAAAACCGATCGTGGTAGGTTTAGTGTTAAACCGGTATAATTTTGATACCGGTATTATGCTATCGAAGCTATACCAAAACTGATATATAAACCGAAAACCGAAATAAATACCGGTATATTTTCTATTTCTGTAGGGTTATATAGGGCGAAGATTCAATCGAATATACCGGTATAATACCGATATAATACCGGTATTTTCGAAAAGTTGGTTTTTAGATATTGGAAAATCTGAATTTCAAGATGCAAGCATGAAACTTTTTAATGAAACTTGATTAGAAAACGAGTGACCATCTTACAGTCCTGATATGACTCCTTCAGACTTTTTCCTTTTCGCTAAGAATCATCTGAAGTTGTAAAACAAGCTGTTACAAATTGGTTCAGATCAAAGAATCTTTCTTTCTACAAGCAAGGTTTGGAGAGGTGGAAATATAGGATGTAAAATTGCATTGATAACGAAGGATCATACGTGGAGAAATAAATCTTCTCTGATTCATAAAATATCTTTCCTTAAAATTTTCCTATAACTTTTTGATATCCCCTTGTATGTGTAAGATTCCTGCATCGTTTTCACAACTTCATTTTCTGATTCCCTTTCGTTCGATTGTTCTGTTGCAGTAAGGAATGACGAGGTAGACGACGGGAATCGAATCGCGAACTTCGACGAGGCCGAGGCTGAAAATCTCAACGCAGGTAAGTGAGACAACACCGATTGAAAAATATTGGTCGGCGGTGAATTGTTCACCTTGAACGGGGCTTAGCGGCGGACTGAATGGTTGTACGGAGCGTATTATTTGAAATTAGTGTTGGGATCAAGTTCGATCTGCACGCCGTTGCCTTTGTACTCTCTCGGTACACTCGACAGAGATAGATTGCAAAAGATGTTGTATTTGTGAACGTGAAAAATTGCTCGGTTAGCTACTCGGTACCATCTACAATGGAGTACAAGAGTACGATATTACTTTGTCACGTCTTCTGAACGCGAATTTAGTCTAGAGAGTGCTCGAATTCAGTCTATTCTTGACTAATTACTGGTACTATTAGATTATCCCAAACTTAATGCAGCGTTTCAATATTTATTTTTAATATTACATATCTCTGCTTAAAACGAACTTTATTAAACAAACTATGCAGCATTAGAATCTGTACATTTCGCCAACGAGAAACGAGTCAATCGTTGAATTGTCATTAATGGCAGACGTACGTCCGTAATACTGCTCATCTTCAAATTTAAATTCATCACGACAAAAGTTTTGAAACCAACATTGAACAGTGCATTCATTAACACTGCCTCAACCCTAAACTATATTAAAACATCTCTGTAATGCAGCCGAGTATAGCCTTGCAAAAATGAATTTATCAAAATTCTTAGTTGGACATCTTTCCTTCAATCACAATGAACATGAAACACAACCAAAACGCAATTAACATTCCATACAAATAGCATAGAAAAAAAAGAGCACAAAATAAGCTGCAAATTGAAGTATAATTTTATATACTTTACAAAATTCATTATTGTTTGAAAAATGGTTCGATATAACACAAACATAAAACCTGCATTAATTTCCGAGCAACCTACTAGATTTCGAAGCTTTTCACGGCAGGCACGATTCCCTCTCCTCCACCACGAAAAAAAAAACACGGAACACCTCTCTAGAGGTCCGTTCGGCTCGCCCGGGTACCAAGGCTCGAATGCCATAAATCGCGTTCTCTAAAACTTTCGAGGCACTCTCGGCGCTGGCATTCCGTTCTCGGAACCGCGTCCTCCCGCAAAGAAAGCGATCGGGAGAATGAATTTTTACGAAGGGAAGGGGAACCGGGAATGTCGGATCGGCGTGACCGAGAATCGTTCCCGTGCGCTCGGTCCCGGCGCAGGGAACACGAGCGAGCGCAACAATGGCGCTAAGCCGCGAACGCTGCGCCAGCCGGGGTTTACGACGATGGGCCCCCGTCCTTCGGCTGTTGCGCCGGTGAAAGTCCGTTGGAATTCGCCCTCGATCGTGTTGCGAACTTCACATTGAGATACCCGTGACGTGTCACGAACCCGCTCCGGGACCGGTAATGAACGCCTCGTGTCTTGCGCTCCGGGACGAAAACGAACATGCCCAGGCCAGGGCCCGGGAAGCTATCTTTCAGATGTCAGAGTCACGATTCTCATTCCGCGCATATTTCTCCGGTGAGAGATCCGCGGAGAACGATCACTTCCGCTCGCGACTCTGCTCTGATCGAGAAAAGTCTTTCCACGCTGGTAGACCTCGTTTCTATCTTTTTCGTTACCTTATCTTTGTGCGTTTTGAAATAAGAACCTTCTACAGATTGCTCTCGATTATTGTCCCAAACTCGGGTCCGCGCCGGGACAATAATCATATAGGTAGAAATGCTTCAGATCTTCGTAAATTCATTTCAACAAAAGTATGCATTTGATAAGTTCCACGGCCTCCCCTCTCCAGTGGTGGGGGTAAGGCCTGGACAATAATCGTGTAGAAGAAACCAGACGATAATCGAGACGAATCTGTACTTGCGATCCTGCTCTGATCGATGAAAAATCCTTCCACGCTGATATACGAGATGTCTCAACAGTGATAATGATTTTCAAAAAAATCCTTTAATTCAAAAAACATACAATTAGGCTTTATCACCTTCAAAGTAAATCCCTTGAGACTGAACACAACAATGCTAGTAAGTTGCCATTTTTCGTAGCAGTGAAGGACGTTTTCGTGTGAGAGGCTGTTCAGATCCTCGTCACGTAGATCCACCTAAAGGTGCGTATCCATTTGTTACGTATCTCCGTTGCAAACGTCGTATCGTATTGTATTGTATCACATTTTCATACGCAACGATGCAACGCTTACCCTTACACATCGATACACAATGCTGATACGATACGAGGAAGCGTAACAAGTGCATACGTACCTTAACACTTAGCCAACCGAATGGGGAGATCTCCCCCTTCAAACTGGGGAGATCTCCCCATTCGGTTGACTAAATATTAAGTGACTTACTTTGAAGGTGATCAAGCCTAATTGTATGTTTTTTTGAATAAAAGCATTTATTTTTCCTTACTACTTTTGGGACACACTTCGTATTTCGTTTCTATACTTCTTTTTGCATCCCTCATCATCGTTTCGCGTGAACGAAAGCGTCTGCTTGATATCCCGTTCTGAACGAGAAGAAATTCTTCCACGCTGGTATATTTCGTTTCTACGCCTCTTTTAGCATCCCTCGTTTCCGGTGTTCCGCGAAGCAACCTCGTAATGGAACACCGATTTCCGCCACGTCGACCACCACACGCGAACTTTTTTCTTCGCTTTATCGGCATTAGTCATTCCATGTTCCTTTTCCTACTCTTATCTGTTCTGCGATCTGGTAAAGCAGAGAAAGGTGGCCGATAAGCTGCGTTGTTAATTCTGACGATAAAAAAATCGTCGACGTGGCGAGGCTGATGTCATCGATCGCGATCGTCGTCGAACCTGTATCCGAGTGAAATATTGTTCCGTTTACGAAGATAACTGTGCTAGGTTCACGGTGCAAATATCTTCGCTGAAAGTAGACACGATATCTCGACAGTTCGATTTCTATCTAGTCCCGATGAATAATGATGGATCCGCGAACAAATTGTTTCAAACGTATTTGGTCTTCAGTGAACACGAGGAGTTTGAATAGTCCAAGCCGAGTTTAATCATGTGGAGGCATTTAAACTGAACTTAACTGCGCAAGGTTCACGGTGCAAATATTTTCGCTGAAAGTAGACACGATGCACTGACATTTCGATTTCTAGTTCTGACGAATAGTGATGGACCCTCGAAGAAATTGTTTGAAACATGATTTAGTCTTTTATGAACGTGAAAAGTTTGAATAGTCCAAGCTGAGTTTGATCATGACGAGGCGTTCAAACAGAAGATCGTGTTCAAACTTTTCTAATAGTTCGATGACATTTCAAACATCAAATTTGAGTCTTACAAACTTTTCAAACAGTTTGATGAAATATTAAAACGTCAAGTCAGTCGTCGGTGGCCTTTGAACTTGCAAGGCAAAAAGGGTTTCAGTAAGTCTGAGTATGCAGCCTACAATACCTTTCGGTGGATCCACGTACAAACGGTTCCAAACATGTTTGGTCTTTTAGAAACACGAAGAGTCTGAACAGTCCAATTCAAGTTCGATCATCTGAAAGCATTCAAACTGAAGCTTACGTTTGAACTTGTCAAACAGTTTGATAAACAGTTTCAAACTCTAGACTGGACAAGGATGATATATCAATAAATACCAGACTTTGAAGCTTCTTCCAATACCCCAAAATATAATATCCCAAATAGTTTAAAACCTTTCGTCAAACTGTTTGACAAGTTCACAGCATCTTCCACTTTGAAACCGTTTCATCCATCCGTTCCTAAAATTCCAGCGCCCCTTCATAGTTAACCTCGTCTCAGAAACTGTCCAAACTAATCTGACGTTAACAGACATTCAAAACGATTTACTTGCCCATCACAACCAATAATTCCACCGATCGATCGAATGCTTGGAACGAAAGTTTCTTCCAAGAAAACCCAGCTCGTATTTTCTTCCTTCCACGTACGACGGGGAAAACGTACCGAAGGGTGTCTGGATGAACCGAGGCAACTTTGGACAAAAACCACCGCTTCTGCAGCGACCGGACGTCGAACCTCGTTTAATCGATATCGGGGCCCGTTGGCCCTGCGAACGATATTATTTCCACCGGCGCTTCTTTTCTCGCTGTAACTTCCCTCCACGACGCCCAGGTTCCCCGTAAAAAGTTAATTGGATAAGATTCTCGAGGTGTGATTCGCTTCCTACTCGGCTCGACGGGGCCGCTCCCACGAGAGGGACCGAGCGGAGTCAGCGTCATCGACGTCTCGGGACACGTACGACCCGCTACCGCCGCCACTGCCGTCGCCGCTGGCGGCTTCAATGCCAGTGTTTCCGCATTCTGGAATCTTATTTCTGACTGCGGAATATTCGCTGTCTAGCCGACACATCGGCAGAAATCCGTGCACCTGAGGGCTCCACGCGTTCGATGAGTCCCCGTTCGGGCCTTTGGAACCGGTGGATCGTTTACCATTCGCACCTGATGGCCATTCGACGCCCCGCTGACTACGTGAAACGAGGCCGGGTCGCGACGCAGTTTACGGCGATCGACGGAAACTGCGATGGGAACTGGGATTTCGATCCATGGGGGAAAATAAAAGGAGTTAGAATTTTGTTGGGATCGTATCGGGGGTGTATTGTTTAACCCAGGCGTCGGCAACCTATGACCCACGGGTCAATGTTAATTTATTATTTATATTTCCTCTATGTATTTGTTTCATGTTTACGTTTTATAATTTATTTTTATATGTTATACTTTATTTGTGACACTCAAGTGGGTCACTTGTAATTATCAAATAGGTCATTGGACGTCTGGTTTAACCCTTTATGTCCTGATTGTACAGGAAGTCCTCGATGAGTGTTCGAAGGCTCCTCAGCGCTGATAAGCACAGGCCTCAATTTTCTAACGCTGACTTTTTAATGAGGTTCAGCAAAGTGGTAGAGATTGGAATTCTGATGTCAATAATATTTGTTTCAAACGTATATGGCCATTAATTTATGGAATATTTAATGTTCAGTGGTGAGGAGCCTTCTGACACTCATCGTTAATTTACTGTGTTGAGTTACTGTTTCATAGTACTTTTGACCGT